ACTGAAGCTGAAGAGGAATCCCTCTGTCCTGCTTTCCTCCAAAGGGCGAATAGTAGCACTGAAGCCTGGGGAATCTTGACCTGTCCAGACAAAGACAGAAAGCAGGAAACAGGTGGCAGTAAATTAGGGTATAAGTCGCTGCTCTAGCAGTTTTCAAAGTGCGGTCTCTGGACCAGCCGCATCAGTGTCTCCTGGGAGCTGGTTAGAAATGCAAACTCCCAGGCCTTCCTGAATCAGGAACGTAGCATAGCCCAGCAAGCTATGCTTTAACAAGCACAAGGTGATTCTGATGCAAGTTCAAGCTTAAAACCATATCCCTAGAACGTAATTCACCACAGGTGTCTTTTAAATAGCATGTTTCGGGCTTCCCTGGTGGCGCAGTGGTTGAGAGTCCGCCTGCCGATGCAGGGGACACGGGTTCGTGCCCTGGTCCGGGAAGATCCCACATGCCGCAGAGCGGCTGGGCCTGTGCACCATGGCCGCTGAGCCTGCGCATCCAGAGCCTGTGCTCTGCAACGGGAGAGGCCACAACAGTGAGAGGCCCGCATACCGCAAAAAAGAAAAAAAAAGATATACCAAGAGAGACCTGTGAACCATCCAAAAAATACTGGGTATCAAGTTGTCCTGGGGCCTTTAAAATGAGAGCATTCACCGGTTGTAGCATAACCAGAGAGCATTCGTCTGTGAATTTGGACGTGTTATTGAAATTCCAGGAGCCCCACAGGAAGCTTCTCTAGCTACAAAATATATTTTCTGCCATTGAAGAGAGTTTTGTTCAGTCCTTCTGCAACCACTACAACGATTCCAGCTTTCTTATGGGTACATTCCATGTAATAAATGGCAGAAACACAGAAGCAGTGGGGCACAGTGGAAAAACACAGGCTCTGTATCCTGGTGTTGAATTTCATGTCTCTTTACTAGTGACCTTGGGAAGGCAGCTTACACGCCCTTTGCTCAGGTATCAGGTAGGCAGTGTTGTGAGTGCCTACTACAATACCTGAAACAAGGCAAATACTCAACAAGAATGCATTATTCATGCATTGATTCACTTCTAGTCCGGGAGTACAGCGACAGATCTCTGTAAAGCGCAATCAAACGACTGAGAGTGGGCCCAGCGGTATAATAAACATCGGTGACCACTAGATGGCAATAACGGTGCTAACTAATTGGTTATTAACGTTGGTCCTCAGAACTCAGCACTACTTCTGTTACTGGGTTTTTGCTCCTTCATTCATTCCACAAGTATGTATTCAATGCCTGCTATGTCCCTGGCACCACAGTTAGGATACAAGAATCCGCAAAGGAAGACATAGGCCCTGTCCATGGCCCTTATGGTCTAGGTGAGGAAACGGACAGAGCATCTCATCAATAAAATAACACACCTGGGCTTCCCTGGTGGTGCAGTGGTTGAGAGTCCGCCTGCCGATGCAGGGGACACGGGTTCGTGCCCCGGTCCAGGAAGATCCCACATGCCGCAGAGCGGCTGGGCCCGTGAGCCATGGCCGCTGAGCCTGCGCATCCGGAGCCTGTGCTCCGCAGCGGGAGAGGCCACAGCAGTGAGGGGCCCACATACAGCAAAAAAATAAAATAAAATAACACACCTTAGTCAGTGCTGTGAGGTAGAGGGGGAGAACCAGCCTGCTGGGGAGCGGGGAGGCATCCCTGAGAAAGGGACGAGGCAAAGGTGGAGGAGCCTAGATCCCAGGAAGAACAGGAGTTGGTAGGTAAGGGGTGGGAAGGCAGTGCTCAGGCAGATGGGATGGCCTGTCAGTGGCTCCTATTGAGCAGGACGACTGTTAGGCCACTTGGCTGGAGCCCAAAGAGCAGGGGTGCAGGATGGGAACTGCCCATCCTGGAGGGACGAGCAGGAGACAGGCCATGCAGGGCCTTTGTTCTCTGGGGGGATTTGGGTCTAGATGCAAACAGCAGCAGGAGCCCACTGATGGGTTTCAAAGCTCAGGAGGGGAGAGAGGCGGATGACTAGAGTGTATTTGCAGTTGACAAGGTCAGATTTGCATTTTGACCGGGTGACTGGGTCTGCTCTGGGGATTCAGCCGAAGCTGGAGCCTAGTGGATGCCCCGGAGAGCAGTTAGGGAACTACCATTGGAATCCAGAGAGGAAGGATTAGTCTTGGATCAGGGTAGGGGCACAGAGTTGAAGGGAAAGGGACTGAGAGATGGGGAAAGTGCCAGAACTCAATGGCTGGAGTTTGTGCAGAAAAGTGGGGTGCCAGAGATGGCTCCCCAGTGTCTGGCTCAGACAGGCCAGCAGGTGGAAGGGAAACTGAAGGAGGCAAGGGGTCTCAATTGGTGACTGGGTAGTAGAAAAAGAAAGTCATGAGTTCACTTTTAGACATGCTGACATTGAGGGGTTTTTGAGATATCCAAAGGGAAATTCCAGAAGGCAAAAGAAACTTTAAGTCTAGAGTTCAAAGACAGCTGGGCTGGGATGAGACCAAAGACAGGAAAAGAAGCAAGGCCACCTAGATGAGACCAACAGCTTGGGCACTGGAATACAGCAATTGTCCACCGAAAGAAGGATTTGCTGAAGGCGGCATTAGAAATCTGAGACAGAGATTGGGATAGAGACAGGGAAGGTTTCAAGAGAATTAAGGCATAAAAAGAACAAAGACTCGGAGATAATTATAAGAAGCATGTGACTCAGTTCCCTTCCCAGCAAATGGCTCTGACTTTTCCCAAACTCACTCTCGGAGATGAGGGATGGTTCCTTTCCGTGGTCCCCAGTCGCTGCAGGGGCTGTTTAAAACGCCGGGTCCAGAAACCTGCGGGCTACATTCCGACACCTTATCACACAGTCAGCCTTCAGTTTACATGCCTGTGGGAGGAGAGGGGCCTGGCCCAGCAGGTCAGGGGCTCTGAAGGAGGGTTCTTAACATCTGAGAGACATTTCCCTTGTCCTGTCCTGTTTCAGACGGCTAAAGCATAGTCAACTTGACCGTCAAATCAACACCTTGTACACCTTAAACTTACACACTGTTATGTGTCAATTATATCTCAGTAAAGCTGGAGAAAAACAATTGACGAATCTAGGGGATATGGCTGTTTATGAGACTATTGTAATTTTTCAGTAGGCTTGAAATTTAAAGAAAAAGTGTTGGGGCATATAAAACTATCTGTCGGGGAGAGTGGGTATGAGTATAGATTAAACAAGGTTGACCATTAGTTAAGAATTCTTAAAGTTGGTTACAGGGGACTTCCCTGGTGGTCCAGTGGCTAAGACTCCACGCTCCCAATGCATTTGATCCCTGGTGAGGGAACTAAATATCACATGTGGCAACTAAGAGTTCGCATGCCTCAACTAAGATCCCACATGCCACAACTAAGACCCAACACAGCCAAATAAATGAATAAATAAATATTTTAATAATAATAAAATAAAGTTGGAGATGGCAACATAGAGTTTCATTCCATTATTTTCTACTTCTGTATATTTAATGGTTTTTTCATAACAAGTTTTTTTTAAAATACGGTTGCCCTGTGGAGTAAAAGATATGCAAAGTACCAGCACATGGTTGTTTGGTTAGTGGAATTGTCCTTAATCCCTTCCCATTTATTTTCACTTGCCCTTCTGCCCTAGGGAACACAGGTTGCCCTACAGTGCAATTTTCTTTTCACATTTGCTGTAAGTCGTAGTTTGTTGCTGTTGTTGTTGTTTTAATTTCGTCTTGAAACAGCTGAAAATTGCCGATGACTTATTGGAAGCTTTGCACAATTCTTGGATTTAAGGGCGTGACAGCTGAATGGACTGCCCTTCCTGCAGGCATACCAACCCTGAGCCATAGAAAGCCACAAGAATGCTGGAGAGGTAAATGCAGAAAGATAGAGGTCCCCCTTAATTGCACATTCACCCCACACTGCTCTGGCCAAATTCTGAGGTGTCCAGACTCCTTCCTCTTGGCTACAGGGGCAGGGGTGGGCTGCGGGGTGGGGGTGGGGGCGCTGTCACCTCCACTGAGAAGTGTCCCTCCACTTTGGAGGCAAGTGCCTCATCTCTTGCCCCACTCTTCCATCACCCCACATTCCTGCCACGTTAAGGCAGTTCCAAGGTGGACTTGGCTCTCTCCCACGGGTATGTTTTTGCCCTTGATCATGCAGTAGCTCACACCTTAAATGCCCCTCCCAGCATTTCCCTAGCAACCCTGCCTTTTCACTCACCAGCTGGGTGAAATTAAACAAGCTAGTTAATTTTCTAAGACTCTCTTTTCTAAGGGGTTATTAATACCTTCCTCCTAGAACTATGTGGAGGATCAGGAGAGATGGCATATAGAGATGGCACTTATCACAGAGAAACAGCTCGACAAATATTTATTATTATTTAACATTTATCAGACTCTACTGAAATTATCTTATTCCCACATCTTTTCCTTGCTAGATTGTAGGCTCTTTGAGGACAGGAAATGTATCTATTTATCTTCTTTGCATCTCTAATGTCTATCGTAATACCTGGTACATAGCAGATGGATGGACTTGCAAATGTGCAAGAATCATATGAGGGTCTGGTTTCTTTTTGTTTCAAAATACAGCTTCCTGGGCCCCAGCCCTATTGGAGAAGGGGGCCTGATTTGTTCACAGCAATGACAGCAAGGAGTGACCCTCTGGGATCTTTATCAGTAGCTAACCTTCATCTCTAACATGGATCTTTGCTAAATCATATGTAAAGTGCTACTTCAAAACAAGTCTTGTCCTACCCTGTATGAGTTTCCTAGGGCTGCAGTGACAATTTACCACAAACTATGTGGCTTAAAGCAACAGAAATGTGTTCTCTCATAGCCCTAGAGGATAGAAGTCCAAAAGTAAGGTGTTGGCAGAGCCATGCTCTTTCTGAAGGCTCAAAAGGAAAATCTGTCCCACACCTTTCTCTCTGCTTCTGGTGTTGCCAGCACTCCTTGGCATTGCTTAGCTTGGAGACACAATATTCCAATCTCTGCCTCTGTAGTTACATACTCCTCTTCTGTGTAGTCAAAACTTCCTCTGGGCGGGGCCTCCGCCAACTATGGCGGGCGAGCTTGAGGGTGCTAAGCCGCTGAGCGGGTTGCTGAGCGGCCTGGCTCAGGACGCTTTCCATGGGCACCCGGGCATCACGGAGGAGCTGCTGCGGAGTCAGCTCTATCCGGAGGTGCCACCTGAGGAGTTCCGCCCCTTTATGGCGAAGATGAAGGGGATTCTTAAGTCTATTGCATTTGCAGACATGGATTTCAACCAGCTGGAGGCATTCTTGACTGCTCAAACCAAAAAGCAAGGCGGGATCACATCTGACCAAGCTGCTGTCATTTCCAAATTCTGGAAGAGCCATAAGACAAAAATCCGAGAGAGCCTTATGAACCAGAGCCGCTGGGACAGTGGGCTTCGGGGCTTGAGCTGGAGAGTTGATGGCAAATCGCAGTCAAGACACTCAGCTCAAATGCACACTCCTGTTGCCATAATGGAGCTGGAAATAGGGAAAAGTGGACAGAATCCGTGAGCCACAACTACTGAGCCCGTGTGCCGCAACTACTGAAGCCCGTGCACCTAGAACCTGTTCTCCGCAACAAGAGAAGCCACCACAATGAGAAGCCCGCATACCGCAACGAAGAGTAGCCCTCACTCGCCACAGCTAGAGAAAGCCCACGCGCAGCAATGAAGATCCAACACAGCCAAAAATAAATAAATTAAAAAAAAAAAAAAACTTCCTCTGTCTCCCTCTTATGAAGATACATGCGATGATAATTAGGGCTCACGCTGACAATCCCAAATCATCTCCCCATCTCAAGATCCTTCACTTAGTCACATCTGAAAAGGCTTTTTTTTTTTTTTAAACCAAATGAAGTAAATTCACAGGTTCCAGAGACTAGGATGTCTTTTTGGGGGGAAGCCATCATTCAGCCTCCCACACACCCAAACACCGTCAGATTAAATTGAGGCAGATGTATAAGCTTCCCATGTGATTCTAATGTAGCTATGAAAACCATTGAGATGGGCACTTATCGGTTTGCTGAATGAATGAACAAATGGCTTCCTCTACTGTAGAAAATCTCCCTCTTCTTCCATCCACCTCCTTCACTGACTTTAGGTATAGACTCCCAGGCAGAGAGACCCTCCTATAATATCCCACTCCTAAAAAGGTCTAAACACACACACACACAGTTTTTGGAGTTCCTGACTCCAGAAGTACAATGGGCCACAGACACCTACCATCAGTGAAGAGTATGCCCCACCCCCCATTTAGTTCCCGTTTATTCATGATGCAAGTTTCCTCAGGAGGGTTAGATGTCTGCCCAGACTGCCCAGTTTCTCCTTTGTCCCCAGAAACACTTACACAGTACTGGACTGATTCACCCAGGGAAAACTCATGATCCACCATTTGTTTATAGTTTGGTTTGACTAAGAGATTAAGGCTATTGAAACATTGGCCCCAAGGCCACTAAGTTGAGTCCAAGTATATTGTAACACTGGGCAACCTGAGGGGAGCTAGGTGCCTTCTCTGGGCTTCTCCCAGCAGGGCTTCTGCTGTGGGGTGACAGGCTGTGGTATGCTGATACATGTTTAACAAGCAGTTCTCCAGGGCAAAAAAACCTTGGATCTGTAGTGTTCACCTATTTCTGGGGAATAAATAATCCCATTGTGACCAATTTCAAGCTGCCAAAATGATGTCACTGAAAGTGCAGTTGGGAAGAGATGTGCACCATCATTCCCACCAGCTGACCCCAGCATGTCACTGCAGCTCCCAGCCACTGACTTATGGGAAACTCAGTCTCCTCTCAGAGAAAATGTGCAGGCCCAGGAGCTGGACAATGTAGCTTTCAGAGGATCACTACAGAGAGCCAATTTCCTAGTTTCAGAGATCAAATACTACTGCTAGGAACAAGTGTCTATTCACGCATCTTTACAATCCCTTCCAACAATAAAGTTCTAGGCACAAAATAAACACTGACATCTTCCTCCTTTGAACTGTCATCAAGCTTTATTTCTACATCTCTTTTTTTTTTAAGTTAAGATTTATCTAACATTGGCTCTGTGCCAAGCCCTGTTCCAAGGCAATGAGAAGCCTGTGCACTGCAAGAAAGAGTAGCCCCCGCTCGCCACAACTAGAGAAAGCCCATGTGCTACAATGAAGGCCTGATGCAGCCAAAAATAAATAAATAAAATAATTTTTTTTTAATTCTTTTTTTTTTTTTTTGGCTGCGTCGGGTCTTCGTTGCAACATGTGGGATCTTCGTTGCGCCTTGCGGGCTCTTTGTTGCAGCATGCAGGCTTCTCTCTAGTTGTGGCACGTGGACTCCAGAGTGCGTGGGCTCTGTAATTGTGGCATGCAGGCTCTCTAGTTGTGGCTCATGGGCTCAGTAGTTGCAGCATGCAGGCTTAGTTGCCCCACAGCATGTGGGCTCGTAGTTCCCCGATCAGGGATCAAACCCACATCCCCTGGATTGGAAGGTGGATTCTTAACTACTGGACCACAAGGGAAATCCCCTTCATGTATTTTAGATATAGATTCATGTAAAAATTAAAAAAGCATTATTTATACATAATTAATTGTAAACAGAACCTAATAGATATATAAATATACTGATAAAATTCTTCACAGTGATAAGTGTTGGGAATAACAGCACTTTGCCATCTCTATTGAAAGAGCTCAAATACCTTTGCAATTAACAATCAATGACACATCAATACTCCTCAGAGGCTAGGCATTACATTTATGGTCTGTTTTATGGTTATTTTATAGCTGTTATTAGTAATGCAAATAAGAACAATTTGATGCACCATACAATATGTCATGAAGGGACCAAAATTAGACATGGTCATTGTTCAAAGGTTAAAAATAGAAACTAAATTTCTAACTAATAAGTATTTCATTATTAATAACATAACAATACTTCAAATTTATAGAGCATTTTATGTTTAAAAGTCAGTCACGTGTAGTCAATAGAGCACATGGAATCTGCAGTCAGACCTGAATTCCAATTGTGTTTTCAGTTCTAACACTGTTCTGAGTACAATTTTTACCTGTTTAATTTTATTTGGAATAAGATATAGATTCATAGTGATGAAATAAAATTCATATCTTACGGCAAGACAAGAAAATTTAAACATAAGTTTTTTTCTCTGCCCGTTTGGTCCTCCTCCCTCTGGTTAGTGTATGTTGTCCATCTGCATTACCCAGACCTCCTTAGGAAATAACATTCTTTCTTAATCTCATAAAGGGTCACAACTCCTTAGGAGACAACCATCCTTCTTAATCGGGTAAAGGGCCATGATGACCCATGACTCACTTTGTACATGTAAATCTGGATTTTGCAAACTGTCTATAATAATACGTCATTTGACAAATAACCCTTTCGTCTCAAAAACTTATATAACTGTGCTTTGACCTCGAACAGGTGGAACAGTCCGCAGAGCTTTCTGAAAGTGTCTCCCAGGTTATAACCTTCATGTTGGCTCAAATAAAATTTTCCATTTCTTTCTTACATCAACTACAGATTAATTTTTCATCAACAATGTGGCAGACACTCAAAATTTACAAAGACTTACAGAGGGGAAAAAAAAGCTCTTCCCAACTCAGTCCTTCTAGCAACCTGCCTCCTTTCCTCGGAGGTAAGGCAGCATTAACTCTTGATAGCCTTCCAGGGATACTTTATGCGTATGAAGTACAAGCAAATACAATAGCACATGTAAGTTGACACCATTTTATACAAATGTTAACATTTTACACACATAGGATGTTTGCTACAGTTTCCTCTCCTGTAAAAGGGCGTGGATAGGATTACATCACAGAATTAGGTAAATTCCTAACCCTAGTGCCTGGCACGGAGTTTGCACTCAAATTCACAGCTTCCCTTTCCTTACTCTTAATAAGGCTACGAGGTAAGGGGTGTTTAGGGTGCCTCAGAATCACGCAGTGCTTGTTAATCACAGATCGTCTCCCGGCCCCTCAGGGTTTCCAATTTAGCAGGTCTGGCGTTGGGCCCGCTATTTGCATTTCCAACCAGCCCCCAGTTTCCGCAGGTGGTGCTGATCACAGTCATCTGACCACATCAAGGCTTAGTGGGAACTTAGATGCCCCAGATTCCAACGCAGGTTCTGCCTCTTGACCAAATTACTCACTGGGCTTCGGTTTTGTTTTCTTTTTAATAAAACAACGCTTGTCTCAAAGGCTGTTGAGCATTTTAAATAAGACACAACATATGCAGAGGCCTTTCTCATGGCAAACGCTCAAGAAGTGAAACGTAAAAGGAACGTGGATAAGCTGGTAAGGCGGGGATCGCCCGGAACACAGGAATCGTGGCCCTTGGCTGCACTCAGACCCCGTACGTCGTTCCCCACCCCCTGCCCGGAAACGGATGGGGCCATGCACGCGCTCGGGGCCAAGGACCCAGCTGGGATTCGGTCTGCGGGTGGAGGGCAGAAGCCACATCTGAAAAGTGAGGTCGGGGGCTCCTGTTTGAAAGTCCTGAAACACCGAGTGCCGCGTGGATGCAGCTGTATGGGGCTTACTGTTTAAATTGCGTGTAAAGATGCCGATAACCCTCATTTAACCCCCGTGGAAACGTCAGCGCCCAAGGCTGGGTGCACACACGCTCCGCCCCTGGGCGCGCCCCGCCCCTGGAGCACGCCGCTGCGCTCGGCCCAGGGACTCGCAGCGGCGCGCGGACGTGCGGCCGGCGGGTAAAGAAATGGCGAGGGCCGGGCGGGGCGGAGTGCGGCCGGCCGCCAGGGGGCAGCCGCGCGTCTGCGGGCCGCGGCCGGCTGGAACCGGTCTGGCCGGAAGTTGGGGCGGTGCCTCGGCTTCCGCTGCTACGCGCCACGTGGCCGGCCGGGAGGGCCGGGAGCAAACAACAAGATGGCGGTAGCGGGGGGGGAGGGGGCGGGCTCATCGGGGGCCCCTGAGGACACGGGTCCCTTAAGGATGGCGTTGGGTGGGCGGCATCGGCTGAGTGCTGCGAGGTCCCTTTTGTCTAAAGTCCGAGGTCACCCGGCCGGGCCTGCACAGGGTCGCGGGTAGCTGCACGAGGCCGTCGGGCCCTCCTTCGGAGCCCGTGGACCCGGACCCTGCCCCCCGCCCAGGGTCACCGCGGCGCGTTAGCGTGAAGCCGCCGGCCTGCATCTCATTCACGGCCCGTTTTCTTTTGTCCCCGCGTTTGCCGCTCTCTGCCAACCAGGGACAGAAACGCCTTCCTCAGGGCGTTTTCGTTCTTTAGGAGAGATTAGGTGCTGCATATCGAGCCGGGGAGTCCTAGTTGATTCGAAACGCACTCTTTCCAGCAGTTCGGACTGCCTCCCTTCTGATGAAGGCAAAAAAAACTACCCTTAGTGATCTGGGCCTTAGGTAGCTTCCTGACCCTGTCCAAGCGTGGTCGGAGTTTGACTTGTACACAGGAGCTGCTGTGGGAGCTCCGGAGTGTGGCAGTCTGAAGTTCTGTTACTTCATGTCTGCCACCTTGGATGTGTTTTCAGAAAGGCTAATGTAGATGTGGGTTGTTGCATATTATAAAATGCAGGAAATAAAGCAAAATTAACTAGTTAAATGCCCGCAGTCTCCCGTTGGTGTCCAAGGA